CTCAGAAGTTAGTGTTTTTCCTGCCAATTCTAACGACCAACCGCACGAACCAGTTTTCAACTAACAGTCGAAGCCGATTGCTACATACGATAAACGATAGTGAATCGTAACGTGGGTTTAAGTAAAACCATTCACTGGATCTTCGTTGTTGTAGATGTTTCTACATCAATCATTGGTACAGTACCATATTATCTGTTCGCGTAACCTCATTCTTTGGTTGTAGATTATCCCCAGTCACTTTTAGGCACATGAGCAACCCATTCTATCAACGGATAATTGGTAAGTACCCTGAACCGTAAAAAAAGTAACTAAAATTTCTACATGTAACCAGTAATGTTGCGCACCATATCACGACTACAGGACCATCTGTATTCTCCTGAAAACTTAAGGTTAGTCATAAACGAATTCGACCACATGGGCATCCTCCTTGCACATGATCCCTAAAAAGGACAGCAATGATTGGCGTCCAAATGGTGACTATTAGAGACTGAATAAGGAAACCACTCCCGATTGTTTCCCTTTTGCTACTTATTCACAATTTGTCAGCTACCTTGAAAGGTACAACCATTTTTTCAAAAATCGACCTGACTAAAGCATATAGTCAAATTCAATTGGCTTCAAATGATACTACTTAAACCTCCACAATGACTCCCTTTGGACTCTACGAGTGTTTGCACATACTATTCGGTTAAAGAAATGCCGCACGAACGTTCTAGAGATTTATCTATGACGTCGTTTGGGGATACAACTTCGCACACACATATGTAGGTGACTGCTTGATAGTGAGTTCAGACAGAGAATCTCATCTCCAGAATCTGAAAACATTGTCTCCGAAAAACTCCCAAAACATGGCATCATCGTAAACACTCAGAAATGTCAAATTGACGCCGACTCTCTACATTGTCTCGGACATACAATTGATGCTCAAGGAATCCGACTTCTGATAAACAAAGTGGCAGCCAATCAGGATTACCCAGAACCGAGCACAGTCAAGCAATCACGCGTTTTCAACGGCCTGGTTCATACCGAATTAATCGGCTCTCATGAGACCTTTAACCGATAAACTTCTAAAGGCCCCCTATCACCTACGAGCCAACGGGTTGGTAGAATGATTTAACGAAAGCTTAAAGCTTCACGCTTAGCCAAAAATGTCTCACGGAGGGATAACGTTCTTCCACTCATTTTACTTGATATTAGCAATGACATTGGAAGCTGACATTAGATACACTGCAGCACAACGGAACGACACCGTGACTTCTAGAAGAATTTGTGGGCTTTTCATTTTTTTCAGGGAATATGGACCTAAACCCTCACATGAATAAGCTTGAAAACATAATTCGTTCAGTCAAACCTGGAACATGATGCACACGCAAAGTAGGATTTACGTGTCTATATTGGATGAACACTTAGTAGAAATATTCATCCTAAAGTAGGTGCCAAGGAATAGATGGGGGAGGTTAGAAATGTACGTTACGTGCGCATATGGACGCTTAGACGACAGTCTATATATCCCATGGAAAGCATACAGGTATAAATATGTTCACCATTTGCCTGAATCCAGCGGCATTAATCAATGTACAAAAACAAGTAACCGAATCAGTTGCACTAAAATTCGTCTCTTGACGAAGCACTTCTTCAATTCCATATTGAAAGCTCCATTGGTGATGCAGCTAAAGTAAATGCAAAGATTCAATTTACACGAATACAAATCAACACAATCACTACACAATCATTCCTGATACTCCACATAAACATACTCACAGCCTCACTTCAAATTCCACAATGCTGTTAAGCTCACTCTCTTCAAAGGAGACGCAAACCTCACAGACAAAGTACAAAAAAGAGTGCCTGACTGGTTGGTGAAGTTGTCGAATGAATCCCAAAGAGACAGACTCAGACACTTGGGATTATTCTTGCAGAGTTATAATGGAACAACATGTGATGTGATAATGGCATTCAACCTACTATGTTCGCCAAGGTGCTCAAAAGCGAACACCCTGCCAGAACATCACCACCATGTCCCTCGAGTCAATCCCGACAAATCGCTCATCAAAAGGCAAAAGCTCAGGCACTCTCTCGCCCTTTCTCATTCAGAGTTGTTATCATTCGGAATGCTCTTCCAGTCGAAGTGTCCCGAGACTCCTCATAGAGTGGCTTCGAGAGGAGATTTTATAAATGTCAACTAACCCATGGATTACAATCTCGTGCTTCGATAAGCTGTACCTAGTACATGTCTCGTGACTTACTGTCGTATCCTGACGAGAATTATGAATGGTAACTCTTGAGAACTGTTTATAGACCAACACCATACATATATTTTTATTGTATAATTATTAAATAGCTAAACTATGCATATGCAAGGTCCTCTTATTATGAGCTTTATTATAACCCGTGGACTATTATTATACGATTTACTGTCTCTTAGTTCTGTCCAGTCTATTGATTGCAGTCTCCCACACACAGTCACTTTTGGTTATATCTTCGTACAAATGTTGTTTTCTATTTTGTGGTGTGATGCGGCCTGTTTGGTTTGTACATAAACCCAGTATGCTTGAAATACATGATCTATAACATGGAGGCCGAGATTGGTGTTCTGCACTTAACAGGTAGGGCTAGGCAGGAAGGAGGACCGATAAGAACCCTAGACTGCTCGTACGGGTTTTATGCGTCATTGGTCCGGTTGATAATTCACTGTTCTTAAATTGGTGGTATCATTACATTATTTGTTTGTGGAGGAACAGGACCACAACTTATAACACTTACCTACTGTCATCATCACTATCACACGTCATTAACTTGCTCCTATCTCGCCTATTCTTATCTCCGTTTCCCCGCTCATTCGGTCGTTTCATACTGTCTCCATTACTAATCGATTAATTTGTTCAATTAGTCCTTGCAACAATCGTCTTCTCTCGGAATTCGAATTTCACTTTTTTGTTTTTACATCGAAATTAACAAACTAACCTCTTATTTTTTAATGTGATAGTTTTTGATATCCAGAAACCCTACTGCTCAAAGCAGAACGCACTCACTCAGATTACACAATATACAAACCTATGAATAACTAGTGAACTGACGGTGACGCCGCTAACAATATTACTGGACATTTAAATCGACTAACATTAACTATATATTTGAGAGCTTCATCTGCGATTGCACTAGACTTTTCGAAGTGAACCTGAGCGCTGAATTGGTGTTCCGGAAACTGCGGTATTTCTGCTGGTCCACATAATGTTTCATTCCACTATACTGAGGGAAGAAGCTTCAATCCTGACAACACCGCTTAGCGTGATTTTCTCACACTCGCTGTGCCGAGGCAAACTACCGGAAAATTGGAAGCTGACCCACATCACACCAATTTTCAAAGGAGGTCGACGCAATTGACCCCCAATCAACCGATCGGTGGCTCTTCTCCCATTAAGTTCAAAAGTTATGGAGTCCCTAATATGTGATGGTATATACGACGATTTATTATCCTTAAACTTCTTTTCAGCCCAACAGCATGGTTTCAGGAAGGGTTACTCTTGTACAACCAACCTGCTGACTGTGGTTGACAGATGGACAAGCATCCTTGATCGCAAGGGGAAGGTGGATATCATTTACCTTGATCTCTCAAAAGCTTTTGATAGGGTTGACCATATATGTCTTATCAATCAGCTCAAACGATTGGGTATCGAACCACCTCTAATTGATTGGCTCATTTCATATCTGAAAAATCAACATTTGAAGGTCAGGGTTGGCTTCACTTCATCTCAGGCTATGGAATTTCCTAGTAAGGTCCCTCAGGATTCCGTACTGAGACCTTTTCCTTTCTTGATTTATATAAATGATCTTATACAACGTGTATCGCCAGACTTATTACTTTTTGCTGACGTGAAACTTTGGTGGGAGACACGCAACCAAGACGATATGCAGGCACTTCAGGAGGAACTGACCCCACTTCAAATTCGAACAGATGATAACGGACTTTAACATTTCAAAGTGTGAAGTAGTCCATTCGTGACATGTCGCAGACTACAGTTACAACTTAGAAAACTCCTCCCTAATAGTGTCCAGAGTCGAAAAAGATTTAGGAGTCCTGGTATCTTACGATTTTAAGTCATACTCTGTGACAAAAATGCCTTCCGAGCAAAGCTTGCACTGGCAACATTGAAGCGCATTTTTGGCGAGTTTGACGGAATAACTTTCCACAAAATCTTCAACATTTTCATTCGTCTCCATTTAGAGTACGGAAACATAGTACTTCCCCCCTCACTGCAAAAGGATAAGGACACCCTGGAGCGAGCCACAAAATCAGTTCGGAGACTCAAATTCAAACCTTATGAAGAGCGCCTTCAATCATTTAACCTTTACACACTAGAGCTCAGGCGTCTTAACGGTGACCTTCTGATGGCTTACAGTATCCTTGACACTTCTGGACATCCCCTTAAACACCTATTTAAGTTTAGCTCCAGCACAAACCCAAGTGGTAACGCCCAGAAACTAGAGACACAACACAGTAGAACGGGCTGTAGACACAAATTTTACACCTTAAGACTTGTCAAATACTGGAATTCACTGCCGGCTGAGCTAGTCCAAGCGACTTCCAGGAGTCATTTAAGGGGCAACTTGACCTATTCTTAAGGACTACGGATAACATCTTATTATGAGTTCCCAATTTCTTTTTTTCTAATCTATTATGGTTAATATACCTAGGTTCCTGCCTGGAGGCATTGGTGATCTACTGGCACTAGACACGGAAGCCTGCTAAGCGAAAGTTTCTTCTATCCCGTCCACAACCATTTGAACCATTTGACTAAAAGAAATGCAGTCGTGTGACTAGACTACCACCTACTGGATAGTACCAAATACCTGGAACTGCAACGAAGCAACGGGGAGGGACCTCAAAGAAATCAGTCCGTTTATAAATGCTCGTCACACAGTTACTGATTTTATTGGAACTTTGTGCTGTGCGCGTTGCTTGACATGTACGCTACTTTCATATTTGTCATATTTTTAAGATTGTCCTTCGCCTACTTTCTGTTCTTTTTTCGGAAAGCACGTATAAATTATCCAGAAGTAAATTTCGCTAGTGCGAGTGGTTTATTTAGATTTATGAGCCAAAATATTCGAACAGTCCTTTCAATTTGAAGCAATGCCGTTTGTATATATATATATATATATATACGGTACATTGTAAATTAAAGTCATTATATAACTTCGCAAAAATAAGTAATACCGAATTTTATCCCATATTTCTTTGTGCTTGGAAATCTTACTTATGTGTAGATCGATCGATATTAGGTAATGTGTATTAAGTATAATGCCCACTATTCTACCACTCTTATGTCTTGTCAAGGAATCCTCTAGTTCTGAAAGAAGGTTTAGAATATTTCCACATGTTCTATGAAGTGGTCTTCATTTCAACAACTATCCTTAGAAATTTTTATCTATGGGATAACTTGTCACTAGAGATCTATTCAGGAAAGAGTACAGATGGTCTGTGTTAGTCCCCGCATTAGTTATTCCCACAAAATCCTGTCACTTTGTAAGTCCCTTCACCTGTGCAGCTAGTATTACTTTTTCTACTAACCTGTTTCAGCTGGTAATCGTTTAATAAAATAGCAAACTCTTCGTTTAGCAACTTGTATGTTTCTCGGAGTATCGATCTCAGTTGCGAAGGATGTAATGGGTGATTGGATACAGTACTGCATATGGATTCTAACACGATATGGCATGATATTTTAAAATATCTCTTTGCCAAAGCAACTCGCGACACTGTAGTACGGACATAACATCCCAAATCTTTTAGCAAAACTACACTGCAACTCGCTGTCATCAATTCATAGCTTGTAACGACCCTTAGGGTTCTCGATATTGTATGGTCAGGAATATCACTTACATTACTGATGAAAGTCAGTGCAATCAGTATACATTGTCAGATTTTGCGTGAAATCACTGCGGGTACCGACTTTCTTACTTAGCAATCAGTTCATCTAATTCAACATATCGTTCAAAGGTTCACAACTCCCGTAAGTAGCAGCAATCATTTTTGACTATTCACTGATAAATTAGTGTTGAGGAAATCCTAAAGCTTTAGAAATGCAGTTTTCGATGGGTTCCTGCTCGTAAAACAACCAGTTTATACCTACTGTTAAAGCGTTCCTCATCCATGGATGGATGGTCTTTGTAATCCCAGACCTAGTGTGATTCTCTATCGGTTTCAGATTAGATAGTTAGTAGAAACCTCTTTAAAACCATCAAATACTACACCTCTGAAATTTCTATTGCTATTACTTTTTCACTATATAGGGATTTGTTAACAGAAAGGAATTTAATCATTTTAAAATCCCCATATCGCTTCAGGTCAGTATTGACGGTAGTCCCGTCATTCCTGTTACTTATGCTAATGCAGAAAAACAGTTGACCTAAAATATACAACCGAACCAATGAACGCGGAAATTCATGTTTAAAGTATCAAAATAAGGTTAAGAATTACTGTTGGGGTTATTTTTTAATTTAATTTAATTTATATACATAAATATTGGTACAGGAGGGCACCAAGTATATATGCGCCACACAAAACAATGAGAATTTGCAGAGAAGGAAAAACAAAAGGTAAGGAGCGTAAAAAACGATAAGGAACAGATTAGTGTAAGGTAGTGTAATAATATTAATGGGGGGGGAACAGAAACGTACACTCAGAAGAGATCTTCCAGTTAAGGAAGAAGCAAACACTTTTTATGAAGAAAGTAAAAGGTTACAGCAGGATCGCCACTGGCTTCTATTCTGAGCCATATCTGATAACGTCTCTACTCAAGAACGTTTAGATAGAACCGAATTTCCACCATAGACGAGCTGCTGTATAAGTCAAAAAATAAGGATAGACAGAGTAGGAATAAAAGAGTGAATAAATGACGTAGTAAATAATAACAATAGTAATAATAATAATGTGAATCGTTTGATTGATAGTTGAAGCAAGAAAAGTATTTTCCATAATTATCGACAGTTCATCATATTTGTGTGCGGGCTGTGATACTGCTCGGATGCCCAGACCGAAGCAGGTGGTTATCTTAGGGGGCCACTCCCCGAGCCTTCGACCTGAAGGTCTGATCCACAAGGCAGTGGAGAATCGTAAGGAGATGCAGTCCCATGGTATCCGGTGACCAACGATTGGTTCATACTTCATTTGTTCCCTCAGGATACTAGAGCCCATGTGCACCATTGGTTTGAAATCCGGTTAAAGCGCCGGACATTCGCTTTTCGTCCTCTTATTTTCGTAAACAACACCCCCGCCACGAGAAGGCAATGAGTAGGACTTCCCTGGCATCAGCTATAATACAATGATCATAAAACCATATTCCCATACTAATTCCTAGTATAATAAGTCATCCATTCATTCTTGCAGCCTTTTGATTGACCGTAATGTTTAACACATCACTATCATTCAACTGTGTACATTACGTTTACCGGAAAAACAATGCTTTTAGTAGGCTAATTATCGCCCTGATATGTTGATTTATCAACCAAGTTTCAGTACTTAACTTTCATTCCATTCCACACGGTTATAACATTGTTTATATCACCAGCTTAGATCAGAAAGTAGTTCTCGCACATGTCAGTTATGAACATTCACTTCATCGTTTAACTTTCTATGTTTTATTGAATATGTTTTCAGTAGAGTATAACCGACCAATCTACAAAAAATTTGGTTTGTTTTTGCTCCAACTTCCTCCCTCGTATCTCATGACCATGACAGTCATCTGATAATCGGATGGAATGGATAATGTACCATGTTGCTATTGTACCTATGAAGTGCCTTTCCGGGGGGTTTCTTCAGAGCATCCGACGGGTCACTTGCTAACTGCTGTTAGAAATTCTGGGGAGAAGCAATTGCTTGGAAAACCTCTGGATAAAATTTTCCGTTTTGGGTGTTTTGAAGTTGCACACAACAAATTAACATTATATGGAATTTTGGGTTTATCAAATTGGGAAGTATTATTTGTGCCATGTATTAATCTTGGACAAATAAGTAAGGAGAACATTAATGCCACTCGGTTAGTTAGTTCAGGTTGTATTTTTTTGAACAGTTTAACTTTCTCATTATATGTCCGTTACGCAATATCGTTTTTAGTTATACGATATCAATTACTAAAGCACTGTTAGGAAATGCTTCGTTTCCCAAACATTTGACTAGATCTTGTTAACTGAAGTACTGCTTTAAAAAATTGTGCAAATTTGGAACCGTTCACTAAGGCTCACATTCGGCTTCCTAAAAACTACATTGTTAATAGTCGTTTCTCAAAGCAATACCAAATTATTCTATCAAAGCCCATGTGATTTGTATTGTAGAGCCATCAGTAGTGGTAACTAGTATATTGTCAAAGTACTCTTCAGATACTACACTTGCAGCCTTAATGTAATTGATATTGAGTTATACCATCAAATAGATGACCTCAAGAGACTGTGTTTGACAGATATTTCAGTACTAGTCAGCAATTTGAATATACAACTCAAGTGCCTAGGCACAGTGCAGAGACCCTTAGGTGGTAACCATTGAGAAACCCTTGGTCACAGGTTTTTTTATTCTTTATTTTTATTTTAACACATAGATATTGGTACAAGGAGGCACCAAATACATATGCACCACACAAATCTCATTTGATGTGTGTGAGGGCTATGATACTGCCCGGGTGCCCAAACCGAAGCAGGTGGTTATCTTAGGGGGTCACACCCGTAGCCTTCGACCTGAAGGTATGATCCACAAGGCAGTGGAGAATCGTAAGGAGATGCAGTCCCATGGTATCCGGTGACCAACAATTGGTTCATACGACATTTGTTCCCTCAGGATACTGGAGCTCATGTGCACCATTGGTTTGGAGTTAGGGTTTTCCAACTCCCCTAAGTGGACTCTCCATGTCCATCAACCCGGGTAAAGCGCCGGACATTCGCTTTTCGTCCTCTGAATTTCGTAAACAACACCCCTCACTAACATAAGGCAGTGATTAGGACTTCTCTGGCAGAGGCTATATACGCGTGACCGTGTGAGTGCATTTCGAGAGGGGAAACGGAGTCTCCCCACTCTCGGCCATGCCAGGGCATTTGGGGGCAGATAACGATGACAGTCTTTCACAACTTTAGACAGGAAAAGGCATGTTTCTGGTCAGCACCAACTTTCAGCACAGTCATCACCGATGTACTACCAAGCGTCATCCCTCTACACCTCAAACCTTGATCCAGATTGATCATATTCGAATTACATACCACTGGCATGGTTTCATACAAAACTGCCACTTTTTTAATATACCTATTTTTAATGTGATCATAGTTTAATTTTCACCCAGCTTATTTTGCGTTTTGGTGGCCAATAAACGTCTATGTCTTAACGGATTGATACCAGCAAATGGTCCGTTTCTTCAGTTACAACCAAATATCGACAGGTATTGTGGTACTAGCCGGAGACTTGAATGCTCAAGTCTGGCGTCTAGGCACAGAAGAGAGTCGTTTAGGTGGCCGATGGGGACTTGTTGGTCGCAGAACAGATAACGGGGACCGTCTACTGCGGCTGTGCACAGACCACAACCTGTTTCTGGCTAGCACTAACTTCCAGCACAGTCATCGCCGATGTGCCACCTGGCGTCCTCCCTCTGCATCTCAAGCCTGGACTCAGATTGATCACATCGCGATCAGCTACCGCTGGCGTGGTTGTGTACAAGACTGTCGCTCCTTTTAGAGTGCCTATCTGGACTCTGATCATGCCCTGGTCTGCGCCAATCTTACCTTACCTTCCAGTGGCCAACGAATTGATCGTCATAAACGGATTGATGTCAGCAAATAGGTTGCAACTTCTGTTGCAACTGAGTATGGAACCGAGCTAGCTTCTAGGCTAGCTACCACCCCACTGAAAAGTATAGGTGAGTATTCGTCACAACTGCATGACCGTGAGTTTGACTACAAACGAAGGCTGTTACGTAATGAAATTGGACAAGGCGTGCGTAAGGACCGAGAAGCCTGGTGGTCGGAGCGTGCTAATGAGCTGGAAGCAGCAGCTGCATCTGGTAACTACCAGAAGCTCCATCTGAGCCACTGGCAGCAAGAAATCTGATTTGAACGCAACAATCTGTGAGGGTGACGGAACGCCAATCACTAACATCCATCGACGTCCTGGACGATGGGCAGAATTCTTCGAAGGGCAGTTCAACTGGCCTGCTGCTCCAGCAACACCGGTCAGAATATCCTGCCCTCCATGGCCGGTGACGACTGATCCACCAAATGAGGCGGAAGTCCGCAAGGAACTCCAACTCTTGAGGCGCTACAAATCACCGGGCCCAGATGACTTACCTCCGATCCTTTCTAAAGGTGGTGATAGCTAAGGAACTGACAACGTTGTTTACAAAGGTCTGGGACCTAGAGAGTGTACCAACGTCATGAAATGAGTTGATAGTTGTCCCTATCTTTAAAAAAGGGTCCACGTCGTTTCTGTAACAACTATCGGGAGATAAGTCTACTTCCTATTGCGTCCAAACTGTTGACTTCCGTCATACTTCGTAGGTTGTTCAAAACGTGAGAAAGATTGACTCGCGAGGAGCAGACTGGTTTTAGTTCCGGTCAAGGATGTATTGATCATATCTTCACCCTCCGCCAAATGTTAGAACACCGCCATACTTATCAAAGTCCCTTTAAATGCAAGATGTTGCTTCAAGACTGGTCTGCGTCAACACCTGAACTAAGGATAGGGAGTGAAGCAGTCGAACGCATTGACAACTTCACTTATCTTGGAAGTCTGATCAGCCCTAATGGGCTGGTATCGGACGAAATCTCAGCACGGATTCGAAAAGCTCGCTTGGCTTTTGCCAACTTACGTCACCTATGGCGAAGGCGAGATATCCGTCTATCCATAAAAGGACGAGTATACTGCGCGGCAGTCCATTCTGTTTTAATTTACGGCAGCGAAACATGGCCATTAAGAGTAGAAGACACTCGTAAGCTACTAGTATTTGACCACAGATGCCTTAGAAATATTGCTGGCATCTTCTGGGATCACCGGGTAAGTAATAGTAAGGTTAGACACAGGGTATTAGGGAATGATGGTAAATCAGTTGATGAGGCTGTGAATCTTCATCGACTGAGATGGTTGGTCCGCGTGTTATGTATTCCTGAACACCGATTACTACGACGTGCAATGCTAACCGGTGCTGGGGATGGTTGGAAGAAAGTTAGGGGTGGCCAAACCAAAACGTGGCATCAGTGCTTGAAGTCGCTAACTTCTAGTCAGAGCCATGTTGGTAGATGCAGACTACTTGGTGGGGGTCCGCGTGACTATCGTAACCAATGGTTGGAGACTCTTGGTGACATGGCTCAGAATCGATCACAATGGCGTCGGTGTATACACTCCCTGTCTTCCCTTAAACTAAGATATTAAAATCGCTCCATATCTGTCTTTCTACGAACCAATTCTTTCTTCTTGTACTATATCCTTATTGCAATCTTTCTTTTATATATTACCACCACTGAATTAACCCTTTTTATGAATCCGGTGTCCATCTTGTTGTGTTAATGAGGTATGGCAACTTGGACCGATGCATACATGTGCCTGGTCCTACGTTGTAGCTGACTGACTGATACTTATCAAAGGCCAACATCAGGACTGCCTTTGATTCGTTGGACAGGACTGTTCTCTGGGATTGTCTATTGAAGAAGGGTGTGCCTGAGAACTTTATTAACATCCTAAAAGCCCTATATACAAACACCTCAGGCAGGGTGAGGGCATACAACCACCTCTCTCCATTGTTCCATTCGAGCAGTGGGGTTAGAAAGGGTTGCCCAATCTCACCATTCCTCTCCAACTTTGCCATCGATGACATTCTGGAAACAGCTCTGATGGATTTAAGTAATGGTGGTGTGGATCTGTTGCCTGGAGAAAGACTTCTCGACCTTGAGTATGCGGATGACATTGTCTTACTGTGTGATAATGCCCGAGCCATGCAATCCGCACTTAATCAGTTGGCAATCAGTGTCCGTAGGTATGGTATGTGCTTTGCACCTTCGAAGTGCAAAGTACTTCCACAAGACTGGCAGGATTCTAACTCTGTACTCACCCTGGATGGTGAGCAGATAGAAGTAGTGGAGAAGTTCGTGTATCTGGGTAGCTGCATAAGTGCTGGTGGGGGTGTGAGTGATGAGATCAATGCACGTATAGTGAAAGCCAGAGCGGCTTATGCCAATCTGGGCCACCTTTGGCGCCTTCATGATGTCAGTCTGGCTATAAAAGGTCGGATCTACAACACGTCGGTGAGAGCAGTTTTGCTCTATGCTTGTGAAACCTGGTCTCTCCGAGTTGAGGACGTTAGACGACTCTCTGTGTTCGATCATCACTGTCTCCGAAGGATTGCTGACATTCAGTGGCAACATCATGTCAGTAATGCAGAGGTTCGGGCACAGAGATGATAATGCAATTGGTGTCACCATCTTGAAACCTCGACTTCGGTGGCTTGGACATGTTCTACGAATGTCGTCCCAGAGAATTCCACGTCGCGCATTATTTGCTGACTCTGGGACTGGTTGGAAAAAGCGGAGAGGTGGTCAGTGTATGACATGGTGACGTGGCATGAAAGAAAGCTGTAAAGGGCTGGCTTGTGTTGGTCCTTCACGACTCCCTGGCTGGGGTCCTAGAGATGGTGCAACGCGGTGGCTAGAGACGTTGTCAGATATGGCTGTAACCTTCTTTTACTTCATAAAGAGTGGTTGTGTCTTCCTTAACTAAAAGATTTTTTCTGATTTTACCTTTCCGTTCTCCCCATTATTATTATTATTATTATTATTATTATTATTATTATTATTATTATTATTATTATTATTACACTACCATACACTAATCTGTGGTCGTTATTGTTCTCTCTTTTCTTTTTTCTCTTTTATACGCACCTTATATGCTTTCTCTCTTCCCACTCTCATTGTTGTTGTGTGGTCCATATATCTCTGGTGCCCCCTTGTACCAATATTTATGTGTTCAAAAAAATGTCAAACCGAGTTAGGTTCAAGGCTAGTAGCCAGTTCA